TAAAATTATGTGTGTTGTCATATCAACTGTCTTTACATGCTTGAAAGAATAAATCAAATCAAATCTAACCCTTTTTGTGTTAAAGGCTGCATTGTAGTAATTGAGTTTATGCAGAAAAATACAAATAAACCTGGAGAGGTTTGCTGTATAACTAAACTACACTTTCATCTCTTCAGATTTGGAATGAGCGAAGCTATGACAGCAAGTACATCAAGGTAATCCTAATCTTGTATCTTTCCCTCTCACTGATCTGACTGATAAATGTTAGTGCATTACGAGTTAGCTTCATCTCAACTGTGAATTGAGGAAAAACAGCCACCAACATTGTATCCTGTGTGAGAGACACTGATTTTCAGTAGTTGAGATGATTTTATGTTCTAGCTGAGCTCATCTGAGAGCATATCTCTGTTGCTAAGGTGCTTCGGAACACACTGGATAACGTTGGTCTAACTGGTGTTGGCATCATCGCAGCAGATGGCGATTGGACCATCGCTAAATCTATAATTTCTGACACGAAACTTAATGATTCTGTTGAGGTGATTGGGTAAGTACAACCACCTTGAAGTCACACACAGAGTTGGCTTGAAATAACACACTTAAAACTCTCACTCATTTGACCCAGTGGTAAGGGAATTACATTGTAAAGTTTATGACTTTCACCACATGCTACGAGTTCAGTGAAGGACAGTTTGATCCCTGACAACTGATTGACTAAACACATGATGCACATATGATGAAATGTCCACTGCATTAGGGTGTGTTTTTGCATAAAACACTTTGTGAGTTGGCCTTGTGTTGCTTGTAATTCTATCTTATTTATACAGCTAACTGCAAGCTGAATGTTTGTGGCTGTTTTTCTTTTGGATGTCTAGTGAAAAGTGACAGTTCAAACATAGATAAACTTTATCCACTCCGTACTGTATGTGCATGCTCCGATATAGAGTAGTACATCTGCATATGTGGCAAAGTATTTTCCTATAAAGCATGACAATTTTGCTAGTATATTGTTGCTATCATGTAAAAAAGGAAATACTATATTGTATCTTTGTCTTGGGTTGTTTAAATGCTGAACCACTCAGTATTTTTATATAAACAGTGTGTCAAATGACTGTGTAATGTTAAAGGTGTTGCTCTTGGTGATAAACCCACAGGTACAGTAACATTTATTAGGGCTAGACAGAATAATTTAGCTGATTTATGGGTTTTCTTTTCACTTGAATTGCTGACAGACCAGGTATTGGAGACATGCAGGTTGTATAAGTCATGACAAGTTCTGATGTAGAATGGGCCTGTTGTGAGACTCGGAGCAATCCACCTGTATCAGAAGGACAAGGAATGGTCTGCTGAAGACAACACTGTACACATCTTGGCTGGAGAAGATGTGGTTTGAATCAGGAATGAAGGAAGCCATCTATGTCAAACTGGAATGACCATCTCTAAACAGAGGATGTGGTCTCCATATAGCTCCTTTTAGACATGATACCTACGTAGGAGTTTGTGGGCACTACATGTAGCAGTGTAGCAGTAGCTTTGTTGATGCAGTTTATCAGTCACTTATATTGCAGTCCTGACACCTCTCTCAAGGCATTTTAACACCCATCCGCACCTTGACTTGTGGCCTAACGCCCCACATGATGGCTGGGTGGGGCAATGATCCACATGTGACCTGGACAGCCCTCAAGGTGTTAATGACTCCACAGAGGTAAAATACTTGGGCCTCAACACTGTTTGGTCAGAACTGAAGAAGCTTCTCCTGTTTGATTTTATATAAATTCCTCACATGGACCTGAACAAATCTTCCAGTGATTAATCATGTTGCTGTCTTGCTAACACATTCAACACATCAGCCTTGTACATTGACAGTACTTGATCGGCGTTTCAGTTTGTTTAGCTGCACCCAAAGTGGCCAAAAAAAATCAATGCAGCTTTAAAATTTATTTGCCTTATTTCCAAAAAAAAAGTTTTTTTTGCAATTGTCTAAGTTTTACATGGTTGCAGCAAAAACTGTAAAGCCAGTCAAAGTTCAAATTTTCATAGCTTTGTCTTTTCTGCTCTCCATCTCTCTCTGTGACTGTCTGCCTGACTGTATCAGCTGCTGCGGTACACTCTGGATAAGAATGGTCTGGACAGGGTCAGGATCATAGCCAGTGACTACCTGTGGGAGCCCATTGCCCCGTCTCTACTGCTAGACCCTGAGCTCAGCAGAGCTGTAGATGTGATAGGGTAGGATCCTTCTCTGAACATTAAATTTGCATGCACAGCCTCTGTTGCAAGCGATAGCCTGTTTTCTCTAACCCGCTTGTGCCTGAAACTACCGAGCTATTAACAGGTGATAAGTGCTAAAAATATGTAGTCATCTCTAAAAGCTTTGAGTATATATTCTTTACCTGCTTGATTATATTTGTACAGCACTAACAATGTGTCTTTAAAACCAGCATTTGCTGTTTGTGTTTCTGCATGAGTAGCTTTTGATATGCTTGTGGTTTTTAAGCTACAAGAGAAGCACCAATCATATTTTCTGTGACTGATTCTGATCAGTTTTATAATATGCATACATAGTAGTTTATATTGTAGTGTGAGTGTGTTGTCAATGTGTAGAAACTGGTGTGTGCAGAAGCTTAGTCCAGCTGAAATGAAATGCTATGTTTGTCTGGTCTGTAGCTCTCTTGCCCTGTGTTTTCTCTTGAGGAAAAAAAAAACAGAAACCAAAAGGGATAAATTTGTTAATTCAGTAGAAAACTGTTCATCTACACAGGTTGGATACCTTATTTAGATCCAGCTAATCAAATCTTAAAGCTGTGATTCATAGCTGTATCACAGGCAGAACAGTGGTCACACTGAGCCAGACAGCAGCTGCTACACAACACAGAGCCACAGACAACAATCCACATTAGCTTTCTTGCTAAAGTCACTCTCTTAATTGACTTACAAACATGAGCACATCTTATTGTGCACCATAGCTTGTTGAACAAGCCAACAATCAATTCTGTCCTCAGTTGCCGTACATAAACATCATGTAAATGTACCTACTTGTGTCACTTTGGTCCTGTTAGATGCTGCTTTTTAATCTTCAATTAAACTAAAAATACAGTCAGCCTATGACGTACAGTGGTTTCAGAAGGTTTCAGACCCTGATGCTCAGTGCCTGGCTTTCTCCACAGGCACTGTTGGGAATTGTGGCCAAATAGTTCAGTCTTTGTTTCCTCAGACCAGAGGGTTTTGCTTCTCATGGTCTGAGGGTCATGCAGGTTGTTTTTGCCTAACTCCCAGCAGGCTGTTGCCTCTTATTGTGAGGGATGGGTTCCATCTGGCCACTCTACCAGAGGCCTGATTGGTGGAGTGCTGCACTGATGGTTGTCCAGGTTCTCCCATCTCCATAAAGGAACTAATGACCCTTGGGTTCTTGGTTGCCGGTCTGACCAAGACCCTTTGTACCCGATTACTCCGCCTGGCTGGGCGGCCAGACCTGCGAAGACTAGTGGTGGTTACAAATGTCTTCCCTTTGAGAATGATTGAGGCTTCTGTGTTCTTGGGCACTTTCAGTGCTACAGAAATTTTTTTGTATCCTTCCCCAGATCTGTGTTTTGACACAATCCTGTCTCATGGGTCTGCAGACAGCTCTCTCCACCTCGTGGCTTTGTTTTCACTCTGACATATACCATCAAATATGAGACCTTGTATAGACAGGTGTGTCTTTCCTGATTATATCCAGTACATTAAATGCATCACAGGTTGACTCTAATCGAGCTGTAGAAGCATCTCAAGGACCATTGATAGAAGTAGGGTGCACCAGAGCTCAGTTGCAAGTGTCATAACAAAGGGTCTGAATACTTATGTAAATGGGATATTTCAGTCTTTTTTAAATATATTTACAGAAACTCAAAAGCCTTTTCACTTTATGTTTGTGAAAAAAACTGAACCCATTTTAAGATGAGCCTGAAACATAGTAAAAAGTGTAAAAACATTGATAGGGTCTGGCTACTTTCTGAATCCTTTGTAGCTACAGCAGCACGTTCTCTGTGGTGTAACACTGACAATCTGCCAGCAGCTGTTAGTCCAACACAGATTAACATAAGCACACTTATTGATGCTGTCAAACACAGACAGCTAGGTGTGTACTGGAATGTGAAATTGATCCTACTGTATAATGTTTATCATTTATTAGGCAGTTTAAACCTTAGTGTATTGATCTGGCTGTTTGGTGCGCAATACATATCCGTTTCCTATCACAGATTGCATTTTCAAAATTTAACACCCACGAGTTCTAGAGTGCTCTTATTTTTTTTTATCATATTACTTTGACCGTGTGCGTGATGTCCAGGGCCCACTATCCAGGCACCACCACAGTGACAGAGGCTCTGAAGACAAATAAGAAGCTGTGGTCGTCAGAGGACTACAGCACCTTCAACGATGAGGTGGGTGGAGGCTGCTGGGCTCGCATCCTCAACCAGAACTATGTCAATGGACACATGACTGCGTAAGTAATTACACAACAAACTTTGTGGCAAAATAATCAGCATTTCTGACAAATTATACAGTATTTATTTACTTAGTTGGGATTGCCTAATTTTATCAAATTGTTTTTAGATCATTTCTTCATTTATATTATCCATTCATTTTAAACTTGCACAGAAGAAAAGTTAAAAAATCATTGTTCTAGGTTTGTTATGAGTTTATTTTATGTAAAAAAAGACAAACAATTTGAAGTTTGATGTACAAAATTCATCAAAACATCAAGAAGGGAAGGAATGCCTGTAACTATGCAGGAAAACCCTGTGCGCCACTGTGCTTGTTGATAGCAATTATTCTTCCAGAACCATCTCCTGGAACCTGGTGGCCAGCTACTATGAAGAGCTGCCCTTTGGCAGGGACGGGCTGATGACAGCTAAGGAGCCCTGGAGCGGCAGCTACGTGGTGGAGTCTCCTATCTGGATCACAGGTCTGCTAACATCTTAACAGCACATGGGATGTCAGTGGGACATGTCACTTTAAAGTTGCTACTGAAAATGCAGCTGGATGGCTTGTGAAGTAAAAACTTGCTTTTTGTGCACTTAGCTTATATCACTCTAACTTTGCACCAACACTTTTTTAAACTTGCGTTAAGACATCTTTGTTTCAAATATGTTGCTCATTCAAGCACTTGATAGAGCAAATCCAGCAATAATACAAATAACCTGAATGTGTGATCATGACAAATGAATGTTCTGTGCAAAACAATAAAAACAACACAATGTACTTTCAAAAATTTAACGCATTGCTATGCAAGGTCAAAAAGGTTAATTCGGGTAAACTGAGGAGTAGTTGGTGTAGAAAAGCTAGTAATTATGTCAAACTGGAAAATAATGAGATGCTGTTTAATGGTTAGCTAGTTGTAATGTGTTTTGATTGCTTACAAGATACAATGCAATGTTGAAACTGAATGGTATCATAATCTTGTAGAAGAAAAGTGGCTTTGTCCAGTGTTCAGTAATTTAGAAAAGTTATTTTAGATTTAGGCAAAACCAGTCATTTTACCAACAATTAATCAGGTACTGGGACATCTGAAGGTAGTTAAAGGTCCAAAATTAGATTTTTATATATAATTTACATTGATAGCTCTGCCCTGACAGATTGTCGTGCGCCTTGTGAAAAGAATATCTGTTGAACAAATTTTATTTTAGCTCTTTTTTTCTATTGCATTGTTTTCCTTGCAGCCCACACCACACAGTTCGCCCAGCCAGGATGGACCTACCTGGACACTGTTGGACATCTGGCAAAAGGTGGAAGTTTTGTAGCCCTGACTGATGGCAGAGGAAACCTCACTGTTGTCATAGAAACCATGGCAAGTTAGGCTTTCCTATTTTCTTCAACCTTATAAGCAAGAATGCATCTGTTTTCATTACCTGGTTTTATTAAATTAAATAATTACTTTAAGAATCACAGAATAAAGTTGTTTTAAGGTGTAGCTGTTCAGAAGATGAAGACTACAGAACTATATGTCAAGGTTTCAAATGGAACTTAGCTGTCAGCTTTTGAACTGTCGTGGAGCCTCCTGTGTTACATTACTAACAAGCAGTAACTGCCCTGATAATAGTTATATTGTTAATGACAACTGTTCTTGAGATATGTTTGTTTCTTTTAAAGACTCATGATCATTCAGTCTGCATAAGACCTCCATTGCCTCCATTTAATGTGACATCTCAGAAAGCAATTTTCCAGCTAAAGGGATCCTTTGTAAGTTAATCTGAGCTTTTCATAGAACTGTTACAAGTTGTGGCGTGATTCTTTTGTCTTCTAAAAGGCTGTTTACTTTTAACAGGCCTCCATCAAGGAGCTCCAAGTATGGCGGTCACAGTTTAACTTCAAAACGAAACAGCCTTCCTTCTTTGAGAAACTAACTCCACTGAAGGTAAAGCAACAGTTGAGAAATTCAGGAGAAGGAGTCTTCCTCCATTAAATTTTCACACTAAGCTAAGATACTGACAAGGTTGAATCTAAGTCTTTTACATGTTTATGACAATTTTAGCTTTTAGATGGCTCATTCACCTTAAATCTGGCTGAAGACGAGGTTTACACATTAACTACGATTACAACAGGACGGAAAGGCAGTCACCCAGACCCACCTCCTTCAGCTTGTTTCCCTAAAGTTTACAAGGACGATTTTCATGTTCGTAAGTAGCATATAGAAAAGCCAGATTAAGAGTCATTTCTTAATGTAATTCTTCATGAAATTTGGATTTCTGACAAAAAAAAGAGTTTGACAGCTTTTGGAATTTGACCAAATTATTTTATTAAAGTTCAGATTTGGTTATAAATCATTAAAAGGTCATCCTGGTCACAAATAGAATAAAGGTGTCACAAGTCATCCTTGGACCTATTCTTGTTGAGCAGTTACACACACTGTTTTCAAAGGAGCTCTTGTTCCTGCTGTCAGGAGGTTAGCATCATGTTTTCTACTGTGCACGTGTAGAATAGTATGAATAGAAGTGCATCTGTGTCCATATTCCATGTTTGTCTGAGGGCAAGCAGAAACCATGAACAGTGTCCAAGACGCATTTTAAAGACACTTGCACAGAGAGAAACTTGTAATCTAAGGTGTGATTCCCATTTGACACATCAGTCTTCGGTCATTGAAAATGTCCAGGAAAATAATTTCTTGAAAAGAGTGGAGACCGCATACAACATAAAGAATTATACCCAAGTACTGATGCCAAGTTAGCATAGTACCACATTTTACAATGATACTTAAAATGGTGACAAAACAAAGGTGTTAATAATCCTTGGCCATCTCTGTGTCCCTCCTCTAGGAACCCCTCCCTTCTCTGAAGCCCCAAACTTTGCTGATCAGACAGGGGTGTTTGAGTACTACATTAACCTGACTGACCCTGGACCTCACATTTTCACCTTACGACAAGTTGTGACTCAGAGACCCGTCACATGGACATCAGACGCTGACCAGACCATCAGTGTCATAGGAGATTATCAGTGGTGAGATGATGGTACTTTTTCAGTACTTGTGGCCCAGTGAGAATAGAATATAGCAACCTAAATGTTTGAAATCCAGGTTTGTACCAGTTTTGTATCTAAATGTGTTGGTGTGTTACAGGCAGAACCTCACAGTTACATGTGATGTGTACATGGAGAGCGCTAAGACCGGTGGTGTGTTCATAGCAGCCAGGGTGGATAAGGGAGGACAGTCAGTCCGCACCGCTAAAGGAGTCTTTTTCTGGGTGTTTGCAGACGGCACATATAAGGTCACCAATGATCTCGGTCAGTAGGATTACTCTTTGCTTCATTAAACGTTTTATTATGAACCACAAAACAAATGAAAGAGTTCTAGACCTCGTGTATATGCACCATAAGTTTAAAAACAATTTTTGCATAGAAGATATTAAAAGAAAACCTCAAAATACACTTTCAATTTTTTAGTTAAGTTTAAGTTGTCCAAACCAAACGAAGTAGCAGGTTGAATCTTCTGTTATTGCTGTACCTCTCATCAGTCAGGTTGTCCCCTGAAATAAAACTGAATCCCCGGCATCCTTAGCCAACAGGATGTCATTACTGATTTTTAATAATGCAGACTTAGTACTATGTTTTGATTTAAAACCAGACTGAAATTGCTTGTCAATGCCATTATCTGTTAAAAAAGACTGAAGTTGGATAAAAACAATCTTCTCCAGAACATTAGACATAAAAGATATTTTGGACTCTGGTCTAGAAGGGTCAAGATTTGGCTTTTTGAGAAGAGGCTGGACAATTGCTCTTTTAAAAGCATCTGGAACCGAGCCTGTCCTTAAACATAGTCAAAAACATCCTTGAACAAGTCTAGTCGGCAAACAATCCAAAGAACAGTAAGATGCTTTCATGTGGTGAACCAGTTCAGATAGTATCGGCAGAGATACAGGCTCAAACTGATCAAAGATAGCAGAACGCAAAAGAATATCAGATGGGTCAGGATTAGTAGAACTGGAGAACTGCCTAATGCTAGTGATTTTCAACAGAAATACAAGGGCGCTGCCTGTCTCGTTATTCTGACAAATCCATATGGCAGCCCCACATTATAGATCATCAACACGCCTCTAATTCCTCCGCAAACTGAGGAGAGCCAGTGCCCCACCCCTCCATTATGTGCTCCTTCTACCAGGGCACCATTGAGAGCATCATCATTGGATGCATCACTGTGTGGTACGGAGTCTGTACTGCCTCCTGCTG